GGTGGATGCGCCGATAAATTCAGAAACATCCCCGGCCATTTTGTACACCTCGAGAGGGACGCTTGATAAAATGATATCCGATTAAAAAACACTACTACTAATCTTGAAAGGACACATGTTAATTTTCCCCACTGGCAGGGATGTGGTATTTTACCAGCGACTCTCGACGGCACGATTTAACATGATATACTGCGAAAATAAAATGAATTATTAACCCAACCGCTACCAATCGTCGTTTCAGCTGACAACGGCCAATTATTCTAAGTCATCGGAGACATTTTCCAGCAAATTAACCGAGACTTCTGACACGTCTTAATGCGACTCATAATTAATTCAAGACACGAAGCCGAATGACGAATTATTTTCTGCAATTTAAATTACATCTTAATCTAAAGTTTATTAAGACTGGCATGGAAACGGTGGACGTAACTAAGTGCAAACGATCCGGACAGGAATCGCTCCCGATGATTAGACTTTAAATACCGTAATTAATACCTGATAAAATCTGACAACTTGTAACGTGCATTGACTGCACGCAAGTTGTTTGCGAAATATGATCCAGGGGAAAAATGATAAACCGACCTCGGGGTTGTACGATTTACTTATTAGGAAATTAACGCTCGCACCCGACTTGATGATTATCGTTAAAAAGGCAACGACTGTTATTAGGGCGATATTGATGCCGATTAGATCGGTCTGAAATCATTCTGCCACTAATTACGGGTTTACGTCCCGGCTTGACCCCTGGGCGAAAATCGTATCTGCGCACGTAAACGTCAGTAAACTTTTATTCCACCACCGACCATTACGTTCCATCGGCGTCTGTCAGTCGCCGCCATCTTTAATTCATGAGAAATAAAGAAAAAAAAAAAACAGGTCCAATTACGCGGATGAAGAATGCATCGCGACTGATCCTTCGAGGTGATATTAAATGTCACGCGTCTTAAAAGTCGACATTCTGCGAACGGTTTAAAAATCATGTGTTTATTGAAAGGAGTTAAATGTACGAGCTGAATAATAATATTAAAAAATAAACGAGCTGGAACGATTCGTTAGGATATAAATGATCTGCTGTAAATCAGTGAATCGATGTCGTAACGCTCGACTCGTATCGGAGATCTGATAGTCGTTAAGGAATTAATGACACGTGATGATTTCAATTCGACGCGCGAGTCAAATCGTTTACAGTAACGTTGTTTAACAAATTAATAGACTGCGACAAACGAGCCTATAATCCCGACCTAATGAAAGGGGGGAAATGATTTATCGGACTTTTGTCGACTTTCTTTTCTCTTTATACTCACCGGGCGTTTAAAATTCCCGCCGAGTCGCGCCCTAGTGGCGGTCGATAAATCGGATATCTACTTTACAACGGGTGTCGGTATATTGGTTATCGATGAGATTGGACCGCAGGGAAATTGCGCCACTGGCGAATTTAATGAAATAAGGAAGGACTGGATTGCTAGGATATATAAATGATGAGAAAAAAATGATACGTGGGAAGGGATAGAGTAAGTGCAGAAAAATGAGAGGACTGAAAAGGAAACACTCAACCCCTATCGCAATCTGTCAATCGACGGCGTACATTGCTGCCCCAGATGCATATTGCGCGGAGTAATAATGCGTTAACTAATAATTTATATAACAAAATTAATAACTATTTACCAGAGTTTCTCCGTTACGCAATCGGTGCGTGGTCGACTTTGACGGGAGATATTTTCTCCCCCATTCTCAGGGAGTTGAAAATTAATAACAGTACCGTGCCCGAGATATTTTTGCAAGATAAATCAATGCATATTACGTCAGATCCAAAGTCTGCAGAATAAACGTACCATTGGATATTAGTCGATTAAAAAACAATTATCTTGAATTAAATCGAGCTAAGAGACTGGAGAGAAAATTCCGGCAAATTATTCCTAAGCTCTTTGCGACATTTTGGAGTAATGTGGATTGAAGAAAAAAATTATTTAAAAAAAACTTAGACGCGTTGGATTTTTCTGAATTAACCGTTCGTGTAATCGGATTGTATATTCGTGATAGTTCCAGTTTAATTGACACTCTGGACTGCCGTACGAGTTATGACACTCATTTTACGAAACGGTGACGCATATACCGGCGATTACCATCAATTCTTCGCGGTCGAGTTCTCGAAGAGCGGGAAAGAAAAAAGGGGAATTTTTCCTCCATCCAGTGGGAGTTAATTAAATCGCGCGATCCACGTTGCGAGATATCGGCGTCAGACAATGTTTAACTGGAACAAGGATTTTTCCGAAGAAGTCTCTCGAGCGAGGAAAAAGGAACTATCCGATTACTTCTGAAGTCGTTTCTGCCCTTATCGTCAGGGTCGCGGCATCGTATCAGGAGGCAGTCACAAAAAAGAAAAAAAAAACAAATTATCGACAACTTTATCGCTATCAACTCCTACCCAACAAACCATGAATATCCCTAAAATAAAAAGAAAACCAACAAACAATTGAATATTTCCAATTTAGAAGAAAATTCCGAATCGATTGGAATACTTGAAGAAAATTCATCAGCGGGTAGACATTGCTTCGAATTAAAGCAGACCTTGGCAACAAATAAAAAGATGAACCGTCAAATAAACGCGCATTAATTCTAAACGTCAAGTGAAAGTATTAAATCGCAAATCGAGGCCAGGCCGGTGGAAAACCTCGAGATTTTCCAGGAGTCGAGATGCAGGAGTTGAGAACCTCGTACATCTCTGAGAGACCGAGCAAAGCTGCTCCACAATCGCGTCCGATTACCGACCGTTGATACCCGCCAGTAATGACATCATTATCCAAGTGGATTGCGGAAATGCCGAGTAATGCTCTCGACCCCGCCTTTCGGATTGCAGAAGAAAAGCCGATTGCCTGTCCCGATGAAAAGCGGGACTTGCGCGTATAAAGTCGCTCATGCACGCATCATCGCTCTCATAAATCCATTCCACACATATCTACACGTATGACATTTATAAATGTATCAAGCACGAGCGTGGATTTCGGATTAAAGAGCGCACCCCCGACGTAGTAGACCGCGTAGTACTCATTCACTCCCGTCAGCTGAGATTCATTGAGTCTCTTACGCGACTCCATTCATGGAGAAAGGAGGCGACGAATAAAAGATTAAAACGAGGTTCGCGGATTTACGCCTGCGGCGTGCAAGAGATTTCCCCTCCCCCGTTCTACGGGGAATAAATCCACTCGGCCATTATCTTTCTCCTGTATTTTTATTTCTTCCTTTTTTTCTCCGTCGAGGGACATTAACCCTTTTTTCCAATTTCCATTGGCTCGGTCACGTCACGCGTTCGCCTGCAAATTATTCGGCACATATCGGGGGCCTCTACTGCAGATTCCAGCCGGGATTTTAATATAGCACCTCCGAGGCCCGGATCCGCCACTGAGGATGAGAACTGTATTTATAAACGCGGGAGTTGACACGCCGGTGACGTCGCGACTTCTTTGACGCGGCCGCCGCCATCTTGCCGCTTTATTTCCGTCGCCGGGGTAACGCGGCCCACGCGGCTGTCGGATGTGTGGACTGCTGTCATGAAATCTACTAATGTCTACATACATGCTCCATTGACATCGAGAGGTACTCTCTAGACCAGATGCTATGAATTCCCGAAAAATTGACCGTTTAACCGATACGAGATTTTTCTACCAGACGATTTTCCATCCACGCGAAAAATCTCACGCTTTGATAGATCTCCCGAATTTTCGCATCTTCATTTCCAGCCGATCAGACTCGACTGCGAAGGATGTCTGAAATGTGCCGGTGAAAAAGAAAATACCTTTTTCTTCAAGATTGGAGACAAAATCAGGGGAGGGATAAATATTGGCATACGGAAATGTCTGATTCCTTCTCTGTCTCTTTTGCTTCTTTTTCTTTTTTATTTCTGGCGTCGCCGGGACTTTTCAAAGAGATTCCCTCGGGTGATATCTACCTCGGGAATGTTTTCAACTTTATTTTCATCGCCGGGAACACGCGCCGTGCTAGCCTGCTGTCACGAGATCTCGTAATGTGCACATGCTCCATTAACACCGAGTCGGTGATGTCACGAGGGTACACAAATGCACGCTCGCGAATGTGAGAAAAAAGGACCATATTAACTGCAAGAGTATCCCAACGTTGCTTTAAAAAAAATTAAATTACAATTTATACATCAAAGAATATGTATACGTCGAGACTAATTTGTCTGAAATTAAAAAAAGAGGGGGGGAGGTAATTCGACATGTGCTTTCTAAAACATGTTTTATAATAAGTTCCTATGTAAGGAGACTGAAATTCGGCGAGACCAGGACATTCGAATTCTGAATTTCTCGTGAAATGCTATGCATCCTATTGTTTATATCAAGTGCATAGCCGACTCGGCATTGCGCGAGCTAGACATATTAATTTTTTAATCGCCGCTTATTGGAGCACACGCGTCAATGCGTCGAACTGTGCCAAATGCCATGACGCTCTCTCGTGACCATTGGTCAATGGTTCCCGCCGATAACTTTATCGGGAATCACCATTTATCCTAAGTGACAGTGACTTAAGTCGGTCGGATTACCCCGGGTAAACTTTGAGCCCGACTTGGCCGATAATGTCATTCCTTGTCTGAAGAAACCGCAGAAGAGCAACTAGGAAAAGTTACTAAAAAATCCTAAACTGACTTTCTACCGACGAATAGAAATTCTTAATTGATAAGGGAATTATTCCAAATCTTTCTTCGGTAAAAATGGCGAGCCGGGGTAACAAGAATTCAGACTCTCTCGAAGGAAAAAAAAAAAAAAGAGAGAGAGGGGAAAAGCGAAGAAATTGAACGGCAAACATTCCCCTTCGGCTGAAAATTTCCCGATCCCGGGAACCACCTGTTGCGCCTTTACATTACGTTTTCCGCGTTCGGGAGTTTTTCGACACCCCTTCCTTCCTCTTCCGGCAAACAAGAGAGACGCCGAGTCGAAAATCGTCTCCAGGAGACGGAATTTCCCCGAGGGAAGGTGTCGCACGATTTCCCCACCCGAGAGGAGGAATGCCCCAAATTTTCCGGTCCGTTCGGTCGTCCCGAAAATTGATAAGGATGCACTGAGTCGAAAATTCCGCCTCCCCCGAAGTAGATTGAAAATTTCGGAAAAATGTTCTTCTAAAAAAGGAGCCACGAGGACGTCGGAAAACCTTCTCGCGAGGGAAATGAGATCCCGAGAAAGGAGGTAACCATTACTCGGACAAGTATTTCCCATTAGGTTTTAACGGCTCTTAAGTTTGCGAGCACGCGCGAATTTGTTGGAAGGCCGGCCGCTTTTTACCGCCGTGCCTTTTATTTTCTCTCGCGCCGCGCATAGACTGCAATTTGCATGTAACGTTTATTCCCGAGGATGAGTAATTATTCGGGTGTGTGAAGCCCAGGAAACGGTCGACATGAGTGTTCGAAAGTCGGCGAGGATCGAGGCCTTGGTCGTCGACGCGATTCGCCGGCTGCAAGATGCCCAAGGATCGACCTATCGGGAGATAAGCAATTACATCTCCCAGGAATACGATGTCCCGGGGTCGGAGATCAATCGGCAGATCCAGCTGGCCCTGCGCAAAGGAGTGTCCTACGGGATCTTGCGAAAAACGAAAGGGTACCTTAGGGGTTAAACCTGCCCACCAGAATTCTTCCAAAAAATTGCTATTTCTCTTCCCCCACAGATAACACCAAACAAAAAAAAAATTCCATAAAAACATCTACTGCATCTGCACCTGATATTTAACCGCGGCTTGGTCACCCCGGGAGATGTGCCAATAAATTTAATTAACATGTTCAATTTAGTTATTTAATTTAATTGCCTCCCATTTTATGTCATCTCGCGGACCTAAACATCTTAACGCTATCACGTGGAATAAAATCGAAAGTCAATTTTCTTATCATTCGCAGAGGATGTTACACGTGTAACCGCGACATCATTGGCCTGCCGGGCAAGGACGCGATAGCCGAGGCGTGTGGGAAGACGAAAAAGAGGAAGAAGAGGATGAAGAAGAAGAGAAGCGGAGGAAAGGGCAGAGGCCTCCCGAAAAAGAGGAAGAGCAGCCTCCGAGGGCGCGGGAAATCGATGAAAGGAGGATCCAAGAAGAAGATGCCGAAAAAGAGGAAGTCGATAAAGAGGAAGTGCAAGGGCGGCGGAGACGCCGGGGTTTTCGAGACGACCCCGAAGGACCGGAAGAGAACCGGAAGTCGCTCCAGAATCTCAGGCGGAACTCGCAGCGTTTCCTCCGTTTCCGCGAGCCTCGTCGACGGGTGCACCGACGATGCGGAAACGGATTTTAGAAACGCACCGGAAACATGCGTCGACTAAAACCGTATGCAAATCGTTTCTAATCCATTCTCCTTCATCCTTTTGTAACAACATAATTGCGAAAGTAACCGGAAATGGAAATATTCCTCGTTAACTCGAGCGGAAGTGCACTTCAAGAACGCATTGGAAAGCTAGCGTCGAGAAGTTTAGATTATTTTTTTATTCCCGTGATCGTACCATCTGTATGTACCCTACATTTTTTTTTATCGTTTTACTTTTCGACTTTTATATATTCGTTGCTCATTTAGTTCGATTCGAACGCGTCGTTTTTACTATTTTCACCTTCCATGTCAACCTCGAACTGTACGAGAACGTCCCTACACGTGCGATGTGTCGAGAAAACCATAGGAAATATATATATCCCGGAAAATTCTAATTATCGTCTTTGGAGGGAATCCAGGAGTGAAAAAAATTGTCAGCTTCTCGCTCGAGTCAGACATAGAGCGTTGACAGGACAAACGTCATTCGTCTCGTTAATCATTCCCATCCGTCAGGGAAATCGCGAGGTCGCGTGAATATTTTCTTCCGGGTGTAAAAAAATTTTACGGATTGCAGGAAACTCCTTGGGAATTTTTTTTAATTTTTTTTTCAACGTCATTTTTGGAGCGGGGGCAAGAACTGGGAATCGTCTCTTCCTTCCTGTTCTTTATATCTGCTGGTTATATGCATTTCTCCTAATCATTGAATTTCTTAATCTCTTAATTTCCCTCGTATCACCTAGAGGAATGATTCAGAGCTCGAGGAAATTTTTGAGACCGGTCCAAAATAGAGAGAGAAAAAAAATCTCTTTTCGTCCACGTGGGACGCGATGCAACGAGACACGCTAGTCATTTGTCGTTAATCATTCCCGTCCGTCATGGAGATCCGAGGACGGTTCGAGGCTGCCACTAGTCGTAAGTCCCTGTCGACCGTAGAAGAAACTCGATTCTATCTCTCATCTCGAGGCAGATAACTTCTGTCTTAACAATTAACCAGCCAGAACCCTCTTTCGGCACCCGACTATAAATCGACGCTCGTCGACCTCTCTCGCGAGGAATTTGCGTAAGCAGAAAATTCCCTCTTCCCTTTTTTCTTCGAAGCGAACGCAAGAAAAGAGAATAAGACAAAAAGAATCGCTCAAAGCGCCTTGCACTATCACGCGAGGCCGATGTCGCAATCGCGTGCGCGCTAATTTCCGCGACAAGTGCAATTTTCACGGCGAGCCTCGCCTCTGGGGAAAAACTTCCCTCTAGGAAACTTCTCGACAAGAATGCACCTGACAATTTTCATTCGAAGCATTTCTCGCTGGCGTGCATCGTTAACGAGAGAACCACTTTCTTTAAAGCGATCGAGTCATGATTAGAGTTCCTCTGTGTGCCCACGATCTCGCGATTATCAAAAAGTTGGTGATGTCGAGGTCGATTTCCCTGCACCCGCCCTCCCCCTAAATTGTTGCATTTCCCAGAAGATCGGAGGGCCATTAATCCGTACATAACGAGTTATCCGGAACCCTGGCCGATCTGGATATCCCGAATTGGCGTGTACCATCGATGAGCGATCAACGAGAGGGAGGGCCCGGGGTCGAATTTCGCGGGCGGCGAACAGGGAGTCGGGGACGAGGTTCCTCCACCATTGAGGCTCGTCGTGTAGGCCGATGAAAAGCCGGCCCTGGCTCGGCCTTGCCGGCTAATGATAGTCCCGCTAATGATGCGTCCGCGCCGGGCACACATGTGGCCGGCGAGGCGGCGACCACGTGACCCGCTCGCCTAGCAACTCTAGCCTAGCGAAGCCAACGCTATTCTAGCCGGGTCTGCGTCTCCGTCGCACCCTCCCGCCCCGGGTAGCGCCCTCTCCGTCGCGCGGCCGTCCCGCTTCCCCTATACTTAGACGTCCGGCGGACGCTTTCCTTTTCCCGGCGTCTCGGTCCTTCCTCTGGACGTCTCTCTCGCTCTTTCGCGGTCTCCCGCGGTCTCGCGCTCTCGGGAGACCCCGAGCCAACGAGCCGGAGCCGGCCGGCTCCGCGGCGCGCCGAGTTCCACTTTTCGCCGAGATGGCCCGCGGGTGCGAATGGAACTCCCATAAGCCAGGGCCCAAGGCTGGCTTCCGTCCATCCGCTCCGTTTCTCTCTCCGCCCTGTGCTACTATTTTCTCCCGGGTGAAGTCGCCTCGGCTCTCGAGTAAGGATTCCGAAGGAATGCCAAGGGATCGCCGAAAGGGTGGACCTTCGGAGCACGCTACCGAAGGGAAATTATTCCCAAGTCGTTTGGACGTAAATGTAGACATTCCGTATTGCTAATTTTTAAGAAGGTTGTATTCCGCGCTCCTAGAAGTGGTGAAAATTGTTAGCGGTCATTCTTTGGCAGAGGAGAGACCAATGAGGTGGGGAGCCTTAAACGCCACGTATGGAGAACCTCGGCTAGATGAATCGCAAATCGTCGTAAGAGGTATGGCAGGATACCCTCGAGAGAGATTCTGGAAGTGGCCGCGCGCGGGAAATAATCGCGGAATCCGCCGGAAATAATCATTTCGTCCTGGCCTCCGCGGCTCGTCCCCCGAGCTAGCCGCGCGGGAAATTCAAATCGCGGATCACGGGAGGCCACGTTAATTAGCACCGTCGTTACCGCGACCTGACCGTGAACCTCTACGTTGCCCCCGACTCGAGATGTCGCGGGTTCTTATCACGGCGGAAGATACCGAGGAAAAAATTGCGGAAAAAAATATTCCCTCGGCTTTGTGCCGCCCTAAGGTCTGGGTAAGGCCTGGAATTATGGGATATTTCTTCACTCATTCAAGAAGATATTAATTCATTTCTTTTTGTCCGAAAGATTAGGCTGAAATCCCGCGCTATCGAACTCTTGAAATCGAAAATCAGCCGGAAAAAGGGGCGCCCATTTCGGGGGAGGGACGAGGCCGTTCCTCATCCGGGTGGACGTTGGAACGGATACGTCGTTATCCAGTTGCACTATCGGGTATTAATTATGCATGACCGCCGAAGGGAAGCGGACCTTCGTACGGTCACGGGTCAACGACTCGAAGGCCGAAGTCGAGCGATTTCTCCAAAGATTTCCGAGCTTCGACTCGCCTCGACTTTCCTTACGTGGGTTTCGCTTTCCTTCCGACTTTTGGCACGGCCGACTAACGAGCGCCGTCTACTTCGCTATTCCGTCCCGACACTCGGGCCCCTCGTCTAGGAAATCTGGAAGAAAGACCATAAGAACCATTCGACACCTGCGAGAATATTTCTAATTACTTTTAAATGTCATAATCCGCATGGTACGACCTATTAATCCGAGCGCACGACATCGGCGAATCTAAAAATCGCCCTAAATTTAGGCCGAAAGTTAAACGAAAGGACTCTAAAAAATCAAAGGAAATGCAACGTGAAAAATGAATTAACCCTCTATGGGCCGAATTTTTGTTTTAAATAAAAAAAAATTGGCGGAACGAAAAATCAGCAATTAGGAACCTATATATGCAGATGAAAAAAAATTTTTCATTTAAAATGTGACCTGAAAGTTACACGAGCCCATAGAGGGTTAAAATCCTCGAGCTCCCAAATCGGGAAATCCTCACGCGGTCTCACGTATCCCCAGAAATAACGAAGATGTTCGCGTGAATCACCCGGTGTATGCGCATAATGTAATAAAGGCGAATATAGTATATACCTTTCGAGCATCGGAAGTCACGAGGAGTCCCGTGACGACAGTCTCGAGTTTGCCGAAATTACACTAGTACGGAATTACGCGTACGCGCCAGGGCGGTAATTTACCTCCGGAAAATTTCTACGCGGTTCTCTCATTACGTAGGTAATGTCGGCCCGTACTCGCCGAGCCTTATGTACCCGCCTCTCTATACGCGCGAATTTTCGCAACGAGGGAACACGTCGACGGGAACGCATCGTCTCGAATATTAACGAGCGGTCGGAATCGGCACGGAGAGTATCGGTTGCACAAACGCACTTTTTCTAGCTGGCCGTGGTCCAACGCGAACGCTACTCGCGACTTCTTAATCAAAATGCAGGGATGTACCCGAGCTCGGAGAAATCCACAGAAGCCCCGGAAAAAGCTCTCCGCGAAATTAAATTTGCCCCCCCTCCGAGCACCGAGGTAACGAGTTGTGAAAATTCTTTTTTATCTTTCATTTTTTCATTTTTTTTCCCCGACAAAAACGCCCGACTCGAGGATGCGCATTATTAAACCGATTATTCCAACGGCATGAATGATTTACTTGTTTACCCGGAGAAGGAAAGAAAAGGTTAGGTCAGGTCGACGAGGACTCGGAGAAAATTTACGTGGCGAAAATAGCCTAAAAATAGGAAATAATTGCTATGCATTTCACTCTACTGGCACTCATCGACTGAATGGGTGTTGAATTAATACGATAAATATTCCTTTCTACCCCTTTCATTAAACATTCACACCCCGTTGAGAATAATCCTCCCTGCAGTTTCTCCCGCGCCTGTTTTTGTCGTGAATTTCTTAAAACATACCCTGAATACGAGGGCTAATTATCGGAGGCCTTTTTCTCGCAATCGGTGGGCGTTTATCGACGTATGCAAAAAGAGGAGACGTTTAGTTTAAACGATTTCTTTTTTTTTTTTTCCTGAGTTTGCAGGGAAATCGGCCCTAACGGCATGCAAAACGTGACTCGAGGTTCATTTTGCTGCTGCGGAAAACGGCCCGTCTCCGGGAAAACTCATTTTCCTCCCGAGACTGGAGCCGCTCCCTGAGAGTTTCTCGACTACGGTCGGTGCACCGAACGGAGTCGGGGACGAAGCCATATTTTCAGCGAGCACGACTATGGAGAGGCTTCTTGCGGCACCGCACTCTTCGCCAGCTGATCCCGTCTCGACGAATCCTCCCTTTCATAAAAAAAAAAAAAGGAGAAGAAGAAGAAAAGGAAATATCTACAAAGCACCCCCACATAACATACGTCCCTCGTAAAACATAATTAAACCAGGATTCATTTCCTTCGACGCCTCTCTCCCGCGACCCCAGCCTCAGACCCCAAGATCATGATAC